TTCTTGAAATCATAAATTTGTATTATTTTATTACAAATACGAAAAGTCTTTTAGACGACTATTATTAATTATAATAATATTATTATTACTGTTCTAACTGTATATTATTAAATAACTGGAAGGAATACTATAGTGCTTACCAGGTATTTCACTACATTTCCACCCTCTGTTAGGTTGACACAACTTCTCCAGTTTAGCCCCGCTAAAGGACTATTTGTTTATTAATGCTGGTGGTGTTAAAATAGTTATGGCTCGGCGCTATGTGGTGCACGTTGGTTTCGCTCAGCTCTCATTTCATTTTCATTTCCATGTGGAGAGGAAAGTCTGGGTGTTTGCTTGTCTTATTGCAGCAGAGAAATTAAATTCTACACATTAATTTGTGTAAGTGGAAACATTTTACATGACATTTAAACTTGCGCTGCGGTGCCTGGCAGACGCGTGCCCTTTGACGCTGCGTTCGAGTGGTTTGATGGTGTCTGATGTTGTCTGCCGGTGGCGGTGGTGTCTGGTGGTCTGCACAACCACCGAAAGACACACGCACATCGCTTTGCACTTTGTCTAGTGAGGCGGAATTGGAATATGCGCGTGTAGTTTTCACTTTGTGCTTATTTTCTCGATGTTAGTTTTTTGGGGTTCCCCTCCTCCGGCCTTGAGGAGAAACCGGAACCAAAGTCGAAACTTTGCTCCTGCAATGTAAGTGGTCTCCAGGGGACACGCTGGCAACTAAGATGCGAGAGGGGTTGCAGCCTGCTGCAGCTACGAGCTGGTCTGTGGTGGCATGCGGTCGTGTAGTCAACTTCAACTTCACTTAAAATCCTTTTTGCCGTTACGTTTCGATGCATATGAGGTTTTGTTTAGAGTCGACAACGTCAACCTAACCAAACGCTGCCCGCACTGCCACTCCCCCTAGCCAAAGTAGAGCCAGAGCCAGAGAGCTAGAGTCAGCCTCAGTCAGGCGAGTGGAGCCGCCAGCTTATTTATAATTTAAATTTGGCAAAAGTTTGCAGGTTGCATTCAAATTTTCCGCTGCCGTCGAGTGGGTGAACTTTACTTTTATGCAAATGACACTGCAACACACACACACACACGAATACATAAACAGACACACAGAGAGAGAGAGAGAGTAAGAGAGAGGCGCCTCGTCTCGGTTTCGATGTCATTCGCAAAGTTTCCACTCTAGCTGCATATTACGCATACGCACAGTGGACCCAGCAACGTTCAGCTCTGGCTCATTCACTCTGTGCAACGTGAGCTATAGTCTCAGCAGCAGGAGCAGGCGCAGGAGCAGTAGCAGCAGGAGTCATTATGGCTTATGATTATGGCTATTAGTGCGAGTTAGTTGAGCTTAGCCCATCCGCAGTTCAAGGGATTTTATGGCCAGCAATTTGCCCCATCGCCAGCATTTGCGGTCAAGTGGGGTCGCGACGGTTGCTTACCCATTGAATTACCTTGCCGGCAGCAAGAAATGCATATTAACCACATCCTGGTTAGCATCTCCTCGCTTAGTTGGTGAAAATACTCTGGTTCGATTTACTCGGATCACGGTTATTAAACTCCACCAAAGAAGATGCTCAACTCTTAATTGCTTTTTAGACTGCGAGACCAAAAGTTGTTCTCTCACCATAATTAGTTTAACTGTACTTCATCTCTCTCGCTAGAGGTTTTTGGGGCAGCTACTTTTTGCTCTTAAGTTTTATTAGTTCGTCTACTATTCCAATTTCCTTAAGATATTTTTATTTTCAACTTTTAGCATAAAAATTAGTTTTACTTTAAATTTGTTATAATACAAATTTTCAAATAAAAGTTATGATTTAATTTTAATATAACAACTGATGAGTAGCATATAAAAAATCATATTTTATTACATATAATTTAAAATATTAAATTGCAAATAAAAGTTTATCCTCTCTTTGAATTACCGGTACAAAAAAATAACTCGTCTATTTTCCTACCCTTTTTTGGGTTTTTTGGTGTCTCAATTTTTCAAAAGTACCACTTAGTCACATACGCTGAATAATAATGAGAAGACGAGACGGATCATATTGATTATGTTTAAAATTCTATAACAAGCTGAATCAATATTGTCTACAAACAACAAGAGCCGAGCCGATCTACCCTGCCTTTATGTCTATCTATCCGTATTTGGGGCTTAGTTCAGCTCTGATGTCATTACCGATGTTTTCCTATCAGATCTGCCTATTTTTAAGGTCAATAATAGCAGAAAGTGGAAATTTGGAATTTTCAGAAAATCGAAAAACTTTTTTTATATTTTATCATTTGTACGCAAAATAATAATTTTTGTTTTTAAATATTTGTTATCATGTCGATCATGATTTAGCCATTTTTGGCATTATTGTGTAATCCTCTTGGTATATATTTTCTTTAATTACCATTGACCAGCAAATCAATTCAAAGATCTATCAAGCCTAAGGGAACCTCTCAGCTTCTCCCACGCATTCTTAACGATTATTGAAGAAAGTTTAGCTTTGCAGGGTATCTGCACTATCATCCAAACCATGATTTATAACTATAATACATTTGTTTATACAGAACGAAATAATTATTCATGGATAAACAAGATCAATGTGATCTGTAGCTGCTTCATGTTCGTTATTAATTCGCTAAATAAATTGAGATTCTGGCGCCGCCATGCCGCACCCCGCCTCTAAATACCTTTTCTCGCTGAGCTCTCGGGCCAGTGGCGTCCTTTAGCCGTGCCGCAAATGCGCTTATCAAAAGCCGCTGCTGATTGCCTGAGCTGCTGAGTTTCGAGTTCCATTGCCGCAGACCTTAGCACCAAAATAAATACATTTTTAACAGCTTTATCAAATGGCAGCCTAACTGGCACCGCACCGGCGACAGTTGGCAAACTTCAGCCAATAAAAATTAAAATATTTAAGCAAAGCGTAAAGATGCAAAGCCCTGCAGTAAAGAAAGATACATGGCTGGCACAAGGGCGGAGGGTAACTGCTGAAGGTGGTTTCTATTGCTGCTCCTGCTCCTGCTCCAGTTCCTGGTGGTTGTTTGGCTGCCGCTGGAGCAGATTAAAAATTCCACACAACCTGAAAGTGGGCGACGGGGCGGGCACGAGGAATGAGCTTGGGTTTGGGTTTGGGTTTTGGGTGTTCGACTACATTGTTAGAGAGTGGGGACCGAAAAAGTATCATTGCAAAGTTTTGTTCGCTTTTCATTTTACTTTTTCTGCTGCATGCGATTCGGATGCTGCGGTAAAAATGCCTGCGAGGCAGAGAGCTCGCCTCAATGCTCCAACTGCTGCGCATGTATGTGTGTGTGTGTGTGTGTGTGTATGTATGTATGTATGTATGTGTGTGTGTGCTAAGTATTTTCTCAGTTAATTATGCAAAGATATACGCTTAAAATTTTGCAATATTACGTGCATATTTCAAATACCCAACGTAAATTCTCTAGCTGCGAAAGAAAGCTGTAAAAATGCCTTAAGCACAGAGCTGCCAAATGCGTTCCCTGTTGTTCACTGTGAGCCGAAGGTTGTGCCATATACGTGTGGGTTAAGGCGTACGCTTGTGCACCCTCGCCCACCCCCTCTGTTAAACTTTAGGCCGAGGTCGCTGCCGATCTCTCTCTTCTCTTCTCTGTCATTCTCTGTGTCCTCTGCTCCCAGGAAGGCAGCTCGGCAGCTGGCGCATGGCCTTTTTAATTGCTCGTTTGCCTTGCAATCATCGCACGCCGTAAATGTTGTCGTTTATTGTTACCGTTACAGTCTCTCACGTTGCGAGCCAACGAAATATGGCCAAGGCTCTCGTCTCTAATTAAAGCGATGCGATTTTAATAGGATTAGCGCGCACGCAGCCACCCACTTGCAAATCCTTGACGAGCGAACTGATTGAAATATGGCCAAACTGAGCGAAGCTACATAATGAGGTTTCACTTAACATCCAAGACTAATGCACTACATTCGCCTTTGGGATTAGTGGGTCTTTCAATCTAAGTTTGTCCATTTGCATGCCTTCACGCATTGTCATAGCACGCATAGCATGCCTTACTCTGCGATTCTCAGAAATACAAGTTAGTTCAATAGATTAGCAAGATGGAGGACTATGAAAAGTAGAGTAAGGGCAATTTACTTATAAATATATAGGTCTATATATAAAACAGTATTATTAAGATCGAGTATAATTATATCACAGAAAATTGTATCTGGATTATGCAAACAATTATATAACTTTATATCTAGAATAATATTTTATAAAAATATTGATTCGAGAAGCCCATATTTGAATATATAATATGTGGTATAACGGTATGTAATTCAGCTAAATATCTGTATCTAAATCAGCATCAGTCTAATTAATCATGTTAACTACAAGCATTGCGTCCGTTTTAATTAATTAATTTTGCACAAAGAATAAAAAGAAGAAGAGTTCATTTGCATAGGAAACTAGACTGAAACTTTGATTAAGTTCAATGCAGCATCAGCAAATGGCTCACTATGCATAACTTGCACTGCCCACGACCTGCCCTAGGACAGACATCGCAGCAGCAGAAAATAAAACTTGCAAAATGCAAAACAAAAGCTCAACTTCATCTGAATGCGGGGTGGAATCGTAACAATTGATGGCAGCTCAACTTGTTGGCCAGATGTAGTTGTGGGTGGACTCGCTAGGGGGCGGAGGGGCGGCAAGCGTGGAAGTCCTGACAGCAGAACTTTCAGCCGGCAGCTGCTGCACCTTTCAATGATAACTGAAAATCTATTTTCTAACTGACTGACAGCCAATATATTCGAACATGGTGCAACAAAAAAAAAAAAAAAAAGGTAAATAAATAAATAAACAATAAAATGGATTTATATACACATATGTATATAAATGTGTACATATGTATATATAAATATATGTATTTATATGTAAAGTTTATATGCACAGTCAGGAAAAGAAGGAAACCAAGATTATATACCCTTACATTAGTTACATTGGTTTGTAAAATGCTTTGATAAAATATACAAGATTTTATACAGTAAGTTATATGATTTTCATAAGAATAATTATATATTCAATAAACATATAATATATATGTAGATCAGCAATGATTCATCTCTTTGTGTTACATATATTATGGTCAATGTTGTATACCCTTTAGCAGGGTATAAAAATATGGTAAACAATTTCGATGCTACTGTTTAGCATGTGATGCTCACCTTGCCACGCCCAATTTAGTTTCGTCACATCAAAATATTTGCTCTTCCACTTCCATATTGTGGTTGTTATTGTTGCAGTTCTAGTTATTGTTGTTGTTGTCATTGTCATTGTTGTTTTTGTTGCTGTTGTTGTCAACAATTTTGGGGCTTGTGGGCGCTTACCGCGTATAATTTATCTATGCATATGTTTTGAGTTGCCAACAGCAGCCAAACGAGAACAGGAGAGCCCACATAAATCACAAGCCCCACCGCTCAGTCACACCCACACATTCACTGTCCCATCCCCAAAAACAGCCAGACACACGCACGCACACACACACCCCTTTCGTGTAAGAGCAGTTATCGCCCTTCGTGCTCGGCCCGAAAATTCTAAAAAGCAATTGCTGGGAATTTATTTTCACGTGCCTATTATGAGAGCTCGATTCGAATGGGTTGCTTTGGGATGTGGATATGTTATATTCTGGATGATGCTATATGAAATTATCGAGCTACTAGGAACTTGCTTATACCACATGCATAATATTAAATTGCCTAGGTGACAAAATGACACAGCACAGGTCAAAATTGACGCAGAGAACATTTATTTTGTAGGTACAACATTTCAGAAGATTTTGAATATTTTCGAAAATTTTTCAAAGTATTGTATAGTTTTATTGTTTTCTTGGACGTGAGTCGTGAATTGAATTTAGTGGCATTTGTTTGGCCATTGGGCAACTGTTTTGTGTGCCAATCTTTTGGCAAAACAAATCTCAGCTGAGCGCAAATCGCATGGACGGAGGATGGGAGGCTGGAAGGCTGGGAGGCTGGGCGGCTGAGAGGCTGGGCGGCTGAGAGGCCGAGACAAACATGCATGACAGGCAGCATCATCGTTATATCGATGGCATTCACATGTTTAGCACACAAACGAAATGCCAAAGCAAAAATATGCATACAAATCTATCTATCTATGCGTATTGATAGCAAAACCAAGTCAAGTTGAGTGGAGAGACTGCCAGTCCGAAACTCAAATCTGGCGACTGTTCCACATTTTGTTGTTGTGCATGTCATGTGTCTGTATGTGTGTACATGTCTGTATATAGTGATATAGTGTAGAGCGTGTGTGTGTGTGTGCTATCGAATATTGTCTATGTATATGGGTCTCTGGTCTCTGACTCTGAAATCTGGTTGCTGTTTGCTCGTCCGTTTCGTGGCGTCCCAATCAATTGTCCAAATGTCCAAACTTCATTTGTTATGCGCATCACAAAAATTGAAGCAAATCATTTTGCCAATCGCATTTTGATTTCGAATGTCAGTGACGGTGCTGATATTAGATGTGGTGAGCTGGGCAGCTGGGGGTGGGCGGGCGTACAGCCAACCCTCCACAATTTATGTTAATTTTTGTGTATTTGCCGCCAGCGGCGCTTGAAATTATGCAATGCCTTTATTAATTTACGACCAACCAAATGGGAACCAAATGAAAACTCTAGTGATGGGTACGTGATTAATACATAGATATTGTGTGAAGTAATTGTTATCGAGCCGGTCATCTCTATAAACTGTAAAGCCGCTTTGGTTCGGCTTAGAAAACCTCACGTTGAATCAACTAGGAGAAAATCTAAGGTGAATATCACTTGAGTAAATAGAATAAAATCAGTGAAAATCTATAACTAAACTAAATTTTAATTCTATTATATTTTTATACCCTGAACCAATTGAAAATGGGAAATCAGGGTATTATGTAACAGGCAGAAGGAGGCGTGACAGACCCCACAAAGAAAATATATATACTTGATCAGGGCGACGAGCTAAATCGATTTGGCCCTGTCCGTCTGTCTGTCCGTCCGTTCATCCCTCCATATCTCCTACACCTTTAGAGCTAGGGCTTCCAGATTTTAAATTTAGACTTATATGTATTTTATACAATTTTGATTTTTCTTAAAATTTACCCCCACCCCTATATTCACCCCCTCAGTTGAAATATCAGTTGTTGGGTTTAGGGGATCTCGTTGTCGAGCAGTCTCGACTAGAGCTTTCTTACTTGTTTTATTAAATTTTTATTTTTTAAACTCGTTAATCCATTTAGATATGATTAATTATACACACTTTTATAGTTCTCTAAATTTAGAGAAAGTCTTTCAAAATCGCTTGAATGATATATAATTCACTTCTGCAAAGGGAACCTAAGTTATACAAACAAGAATTAATAATAAAAAAATTGAACGCTTACGGGAATACAAATTTTTAATCTGAATAGCATTTTTTTTACAATCTTTTTTATTTTGAATCAATCTTAATTTGGATATTTTACCTCCACATCTTGAAGCTATCGCCAAACTGAGACAACAGAATTTCGGCTCGAATTCAGAATCTGGTTACTCAACCTTCATCTCTAGAAACTATCGTAGCCAGACGAACTCACGTGCTCAACTGTTGCAGATGGTCTGTAAAATGGTTTTATTTATCCATAGTAACTCCGGTCGTCGGGCTCTCGGTTGCGGCTAGTTATGCAGTGTTTAACTTTGCCCGAGGCTTTTGTTGGTTGAGGGGCGTGGCATTTTCATTTTCACGCCCCAGCCGCGTAACTCATTTTCGCCTCAGAAAAAAATAAATAAAAGGGAAATAAAGTTTCTTTTGCTGCTGCAACTTGGCACATTCTTAATTTCTTGCGTATTTTGTCAAGACAAATTGAATTTTTATGAGCGGCGTCGCCGTTGCCGTCGACGTTCTTGCAAAAAAGTAAAAATAAAATAAAATAAAAGTATCAAAAGGCGTCGCGACGCGTCGCAGCCCCAACGACAGCAGCAAGAGCCAAGCGAAAACTTTAAACTTTTCTCATCTTGTGAAATTCATTTTATCACAAGTAATTACTTCGTAAATATATGGGGTGGCAGACAATGCAGCAGCAGACGTCGCAACGTTACGTGGATTGCACACGCAGCCTTTTGGCCATTTGAAGAGGGCAATAAAATGGCTGTTGGCAAAAAAAAAAAAAAAAAAGTAAAAAGAAGCCAAGAAAAGAAAATTAAGCTTAAAGAGTGCAACATGCAACAAGGAATACAGTTTGCCATCAACATAGTCGATCTACAAATATTCCAAATACAAATACTTATAGTGTATGGTTTTAAGCTTTAAATAAATATATAGATACGATAAATATAAAATCGTAATTGCCATGATTTAGACTGCTCTTATTGAATTCATTAATTTAAGATTTCATTTCAATGTTTATTATGAATGGAAATGCCTTAACCTTATCTCGTTTGTTTTATGAAATGAAAAGATTATTTTTTGCAGCTATCGAATTGAAATTTGGAGCAAATAACCTTCTGCACCTTCAGTTTATAAAGGTTAACAACAAATATATACAATAAATATAGAAACTCGATAAATTAACGCTAACGAATTGTTTGAATATATGTACAAGTATGCATTGCATGCGAAGTTACTGCAATCTTGCTTTCAGTATTCCGGCAGTATTAATATTGAATATGTTTAGCAACAATATCGCCAAGCGAAACATCTGTTCGCCTGCTCAGCAACATTACGCAGCAATGTTTCTGATGAAAATGTTGCTAGCAACAATAAGTGCGAGCACCGAACTTAGCCAATGTCGAGATATCTGTCTAAATTTCTATAAATTAACACTAAATAAGTAAATTCTGTAGTCAATAATCAGCACGATATGAAAAAGCTGCATCTGAGTAAAAAAGTCAACGCTTGCAGTAACAATTTTCATTCTTAATGCAAGAGCACTTGAATATTGAATCGAAGCTATTGTACAAGATTAAAAACATAGTTTGTATACAAATATCAAGTTTACATATTTATTGTTGTTGTTTTTGGTAGCTCACTGCACATGCAACTTGCCATTGGGCTTGTCAAGCCGCGGCAATAATTTGCACAGGTAGTTAGGCCGAATTAATGTAAACATTGAAAATTGTATTAGAGCGCTCAATCGCTGGTGATTGTTGTGGTGCTTAATCGAAAAGTCCAAAGCCCATGTCGTCATCCTCCTCCTCGGATTCGGACTCGACCTTCTTGGCCTCCTCCTTCTTTTCGGCAGCGCCAGCTCCAGCAGCTGGTGCCGCAGAGGCGGTAGCAGCAGCGAACTTGCTGGGATCCTTGATATACTCCTTGATGGTGGTAGCTTCTTTGAACTCAACCTCTGTTGTAGCAGCGATGGCCAACAGGTTCTTGAATCCGTTGGCAATGCTGTGAGGTGCCGAAGCAATCGTTGGATAGCCGACAGACAAACAGACAGCAGCCAGATTGGCCACGCCCTGTTGGAACTTGGCGCGCAAATCCTCGGGCTTGATGTCCAAGATCTCAGGTGAGAAGATGGAACCCGAATCATAGACCTGGTTCACGATCAGTCCATACGAGAATGGCGAGATGTTTAACATGTTCAGCAAAGTGGCCTCAGAGGCACCAACTTTGTCTCCAGGCTTCAAGATGGGCACATCGTTGATGATTTCAATTGTACCCTTCGAAATCTTGGTCGGGATGGACAGAGCCTGGAAGAAACTAGTCTTCTCTGGACCCAAGCCTGTGTTCTGGGCCGGAATAATGACAGGCAATGGTGCAATGGCGCCCGGACGTGCAGGTGCACGCACCTTTGATTCCAACAGCTTATCGCGAACCTCAGCCAAATCACCCTTGGTGAACACAAAGCCAACATTGCCCTTGATGTGCGGCAACAACTTCTCCAACTGAGGATTGTTCTCCAAATGTCCACGAATTGCCTTGCGCATCATCGTGTTCTTGCCCATCAGTACGACGGCGAGACCACGGAGGCTGGTACGGATGTTCTGCATCTGCTTGGAGCCAACATTGTCAGCGCCTACAATGAAACACTTTGGGAACTCATCGAACAGTTCCTACATTCAAGAAATTTCATTAGCAAATTCATACGCATATGATTCTATAAAAATATTAGCCAACATACCACAACTTTAATGAAGTACTGAGCCTTCCATGCTGCTTTGTTCTCCCTAACCATTTTGTAACTGTATTAGGGACTCGATTGAATTTAAGAACTGCAAAAATTCAAATATATCATTACTATGCTTTACATAATTACACAATTTTTTCAAATTCAATATTTTACAAAATAATAGCATAAGGATGGCATTTATTTTCCAAGATTTTATTTTTCACTTACCAAAACACAAACTATACGCGGTGGTGACTTGGACCAAATGGACGAGATGTGCGATATTCCGTAAGAATCTATCGATTGTAGCTACGATATACAAAATACATCGGTTGCCACAATTATCATCTAATTGAATCTCGAATATTAGCCATTAGTGCCTTTATCTTAAATAAATGGAATCCACATCAAATTTTCCATATTCAATTCAATAGATGTAAACATATTTTAATAGAAATCATGATCAACTTAACAATTAATCGATAGTTCAACTCTAAAAACAGTGTTACCCCAAAGACATAGAACAGACAAAACCGATGTGGTCGCATTGACGTTGCATGCATGAAATGAACACCACTCTCGTTATTCCAAATCGTCAATATTATTATTAAATATCGATAGCCCACTTGGATATATTTTCAAGCTGTGATCAAAATCTAGTTGTGCAATATACAACGCTTACATATTACTCATCTACATATATAAGCCAACAAAATTTACAATTATTAATACGATGGGCAAAGATTATTATCAGATTCTGGGCATCAACAGGACAGCAACTGATGAGGAAATCAAAAAAGCTTACAAGCGAATGGCCCTTAAGTATCATCCAGACAAAAATGACCACCCAGAGGCTGCAGACCAGTTCAAGGAGATTGTTGTAGCATTTGAAATACTATCAGATAAGGAAAAACGACAGTTATACGACCAATATGGAGAAGAAGGCCTCAAAAACGGCTTTGGCCAAACTACTTTCGCAGAACCATCAGCTGATATGCTACCGTTTATATGCGCCGTTGGAGGAACAGTTTTGTTTGCTTTTGCAGCATTCAAAACATTCCAATATTTTACCAAGAAACCTAATGCGGATCGCAAAAATGATGACAGTGAATGAATCTCCAAAATTAGAATTAATTATTCACAATTTTAGCAGAATTGTTAACAAATATGTATAAAATTGTTTCTATTGTTGTATGTAAAATTTGGTAATATGGATGCGAAGAACAAAATTCTGTATTAAGCAGAAGTAAATTAAATAATTTTTTTGACATTTGTTCAAAACTTAATTTCATCATGGAATATAAATAAATATTTTGGTCGTGACGATTAAGGAGCTATTACTTACTTCTGGCTATTAACGGAAACTCTGTTGCTGCACTGCAGTAAATTAGTTTCCGCTTCGAAAAGGAGGGATAGGGCAGGTGTAGAATCCTCTGCAATATATTTACATATGTATGTATAAGTCTGGGGCTAACAAAACTATTTACACTAATTCTAATTTAAGATTATAAGCCAAAATTTAATGCATTAAATGATGAATTTAAAATTTAAGAAAATTAAAAGCAGCAAAGAGAAGAAACCTTGGGTGACCAAGTAATTGTTGCGCAAATCGGTAAGTCCCCCAATCTCGGTCCATCATGTTAGTTAAATCTGAACATTTACGTTTTACAGCAATAATCGATTCATCGATATACTGCTGTTAAAAGCCCAACTATGATCTGTGTAGATTAAATTAGAATAAATCTATGAATTTCGACAGATTATATGTTCCAAAAAGAAACTAATATTGTTACCTATTTATTTACATATTGAAAAAAAAAACAAGATTTTAACTAATTGTTTTAGCTGAATCTCAAAATCTGAAGATGACGATCATCGTTCAAGTATCGATTAACTATCCTAATGAGTATCGTATTTTGCCATCGATAGACAGGCTGCAAGCAATTAACATAACGGCAACAGTATCGTCTTTCGGTCTCTGGTTAAGATTTTTATTCTATGAAAAAGACAAAGTTGAAAAGACAAATCAGGGTAAAATATATGTATAAAAATATATATATAATACTTGTAAGCTGCATCATTGCTAAATAAATTAATTTCAACATACGCACTTGCCATTAGGACTCTTGACGATCCCTACGATATTCTCAACATAAAGAGAAGTGCGACCAGAGGAGAAATTACCAAAGCTTATCGCGAACTCCTGGCCACATGCTATTTGAAAGATGTCAAGCGATTTCAGCAAATTGTGTATGCATATTTGGTACTCAGTGGAATGGAACAAATAGATCTTAATGCACCATCGCAGAACTCATATCTACGAATGCCTCGTATCTTTCTGCCCAGATGGAATCGATCAAACTATTTGAGTGTGGTTTACTTTGCTGGCGGAACTATTTTGGCGAGCCTAATTGCCTACAAAATGTATCAGCTCGGATCAGCTTTAAATAAGCAACCATTGCAGAGCTCTTCTTTCATCGTGGCACCACAAATCACAGAACAGAATTCAGTGTCGACATCAACATTTAACCTAATACCACAATCATGGAGCTGGATATTGGAATCATCAGATAAAATATGGAAAATAACTAATCAAAAGTCAACTGTAGAATCATCGTCGCCAATTGACTCCGTTGTTACCGCAACTGTGCAAGGACCTACGGCAATTGCTTCATCTGTCTATAGTATTGCAGGCTCCACTGCCAGAGCTCTTTCAAAAGCTTGGTCATGGACAACAGGATCGGCAGGAAGCGTTTGGCAGTGGACCGCAAACAAGATGTCATCTCAAAGTGGAGATTCAACAGTGGCTTCGTCTGTTAGTGCTATTGCAGGCTCCGCTGCCGGAGGTCTTTCTAAAGCTTGGTCATGGACAACAGGATCGGCAGGAAGCGTTTGGCAGTGGACCGCAAACAAGATGTCCTCTCAAAGTGGAGACTCAACATCTTCTGCAGTGGCTTCGTCTGTTAGTGCTATTGCAGGCTCCGCTGCCGGAGGTCTTTCAAAAGCTTGGTCATGGACAACAGGATCGGCAGGAAGCGTTTGGCAGTGGACCGCAAACAAGATGTCCTCTCAAAGTGGAGACTCAACATCTTCTGCAGTGGCTTCGTCTGTTAGTGCTATTGCAGGCTCCGCTGCCGGAGGTCTTTCAAAAGCTTGGTCATGGACAACAGGATCGGCAGGAAGCGTTTGGCAGTGGACCGCAAACAAGATGTCCTCTCAAAGTGGAGACTCAACATCTTCTGCAGTGGCTTCGTCTGTTAGTGCTATTGCAGGCTCCGCTGCCGGAGGTCTTTCAAAAGCTTGGTCATGGACAACAGGATCGGCAGGAAGCGTTTGGCAGTGGACCGCAAACAAGATGTCATCTCAAAGTGGAGATTCAACAGTGGCTTCGTCTGTTAGTGCTATTGCAGGCTCCGCTGCCGGAGGTCTTTCTAAAGCTTGGTCATGGACAACAGGATCGGCAGGAAGCGTTTGGCAGTGGACCGCAAACAAGATGTCCTCTCAAAGTGGAGACTCAACATCTTCTGCAGTGGCTTCGTCTGTTAGTGCTATTGCAGGCTCCGCTGCCGGAGGTCTTTCAAAAGCTTGGTCATGGACAACAGGATCGGCAGGAAGCGTTTGGCAGTGGACCGCAAACAAAATGTCATCTCAAAGTGGAGACTCAACATCTTCTGCAATGGCTTCGTCTGTTGGCCCACTTTCAAAGGCTTGGCAATGGACTATGGGCAAGCTTTCTTCGCAAACTGGTGATTCTACATTATCTACCACGACTTCTTCTATTAATGTGTTGTCTAAAATATGGAAGTGGGCATCAGGTCAGGGTTGAATAACTCGAAAGAGCCTTGCAATAAAATTAATTTCTTGAGCTAATGATAATTTATACAATACTATTTCAAATGGTTAATTATTTTTCATTTTGTAGCATTGTTTTTCATTGTGTACTGAACTATTAAAAAAACCGAAGCTTTTGATAGATCCGTTGCTTTAGACTCATTAGGCCAAAATCAATGATTCGCTCTCTTATCTTTGTTTAATATGAGTATTTGGTTTTCAATGAAGTTTTATATATATTTTCTGTTTTCTTAAGTATTTAAGTATAACACTATGTTTTCCATGGTTTCGGCTAATACATTAATACCCTCCTCTAAAAGCCCGCTTTTAAAACCGCGATACTCTCGATATTTTCCGATAACTTGAATTCGCTGTTAATAACTTGTAAAGTAATGTTAAGTTAACAGAAGACATGTAGCAAGGCTAGCGGATTTCGGGAGATCACACGTAACACTAACCAGTGCACGTAAGCAACCGCAGCTTAGCCGTTCAAAAGAAACACGTACTTTAAAATGGGATCGAAATTTCAAGATCACTACAAAACTCTTCAGATTGGGCAAAAGTCGACCCAAAGCCAAATCAAATCAGCCTATTATAAACATATCAAAATTTGGCACCCAGATAAGAATCCAGGAAATAAACATGCTGTGCAAATGAGTAAGATGATAAATGAAGCAAAGAGAGTACTTTCAGATCCGGCGCTACGTAGAGAATATGATAGGACATATATTAATAAACAAAATGAACAATATAGAGAGCAAGGAAAGCAGTCGCACCACTCGCAGAAGAACACAAAATCGAACTATAATCATGATCAAAATAATAGACAGGGCACGACAAAAGACGACAAGTCAAATGGACGCCATTATCAAAACGATAGCTCGAAATCGAGCTATAATCGCAACTATGAAAAAAATCATCAAAATCAAGACAACCAAAGAGATAAGCAGAGAGAACATAAGGAATATCAGCACGATCGCAATTGGAACAACCATCAGCAAGGAAACCGAGACAATAAAAATTGGAATAGTCATCAAAATGGATACCGAAATCAAAGCTCCCATCAGGACGATCGCAATTGGAACTATTATGGCCATCAGCAGGAAAACCGGGACCATACAAACAGGAATAGTTATCACAATGGATCCCAATATCAAAACGCCGATCAAGACTACACGAACTTATATGAAACTCTAGGCATAACAAAGGGTGCTACAACTAAGAATATTGAAAATGCATTTCGTAAATTGGCTGCTAAATATGGTAGTAGTGATAACCCCCAAGTCAAGCAGCAGTTCCAAAAAATTCTTGGGGCCTATTTAGTGCTAACCGATCCAGTCTTGCGTGCCAATTATGATAGGCAATATAATAACAGCGAAAGCAGAAATTCATTTACATTTAGATTTCTAAACGAAACATTCGAGAGTTTTTGTAATTCAATTAATTGGGATAATGTACTTTGTGTTTTTGTGGGATGCGGATATGTACTTTTTGTTATATTAAAATATGCGGGTATCCTAATTTTCACCGTAGGAAAATGTGTTCTTAGGACTTTACCCCCATTGCTTTTCATCTTGGGAAAATTAATTTGTATGATTGTACCACCTTTGGTAAAGGGATTAATATATTTAGTAATTGGCTTAACAAAGTGCATTTTCACCGTAGGAAAATGTGTTCTTAGGACTTTACCCCCATTGCTTTTCATCTTGGGAAAATTAATTTGTATGATTGTACCACCTTTGGTAAAGGGATTAATATATTTAGTAACTGGCTTAACAAAGTGCACGATCTGGAGTCTGAAAATGTTATGCAAATGTATATTTTAGAAATCTATCCAATGAACACGAAATAGTTGTGAAGAAGCTGAAATTGAATGGATATTAATTTTAGTAGTAACCGCAAAAAAGGTCTACCTATATAAGCTAGCCTACCTACATAAGTATGTATAGTAGATAGACAGTGAGATTTGGAGTAACTTAATATTTCCTCTTTAAACTTTATATCAGACCATACTTGTTAGATTTTGAATTCCTAGGTCTTATGGGCCCCAAGATTACGGACGAATGCTGGTGGTCGACTCATCTGCTATCAATTTTATAAACTTTTTTAGTTCTGTGCTTACAATATTGCCTTGCTGTTATTGCTAAGAAAACTAATTTTCATAGTTTTCGACGATTTTTTATTACTTTTATTTTGTTGAATAGATAAAAATGTGCGACACCTTAATTTCAAAAATGTTTTTATTTCGAACGAAATTTCACATACTTGCTGGCTTAATGCTAAATGAGAGGAATGATTGCAATGAATTAATTACCAATCTTTTCAATATCATCAGCATTATCGGTGTTCAAGTAAATGATATCTTTCTGAAAGTGTTTCTCGATAGCACGGCAAACGGACATGCTTTTTTCCCCATCGATCAGATTTATAGCAATACCCGACTTGCCGAATCGTCCAGTACGACCGATACGATGCAAATAGGTTTCACAGTCGGCGTTACCGCGTAGATCCACAGGCAAATCGAAGTTAACAACGATTGTCACCTGTTCAATGTCAATGCCGCGTGAGAGAACATTCGTGGTAATGAGAACCTTCTCCTGTCCAGACCTGAACCGGTCCAAAACGGCCAGTCTTTGCTCCACGGTCAAGTCGCCAGAGAGAACAGCAACTGAATGTCCGTCGGTTGTCATTTTAGATGCCAGCCAAGCGGCTGTTTTGCGTGTGTGACAAAATATAATAGCTTGGCCAATGCTGATGCAGCCATAGATGTTCTGGATGGCATTGTATTTGCCTTCCTCGTTTTTGCAATTTACATAATATTGCTTAATATTGTCCAGAGATTCTTCTTCGCGCATCAATCGAATTATAGTTGGCTCCGGCACAATCAAGCGTGCAAAGTCCATTACCTCCTTGTCGTAGGTTGCCGAGAAGAACAACATCTGGCATTGTGAGCTGAGCATTTTATGGATTCGAATGCATTGATCGTGATGTCCTTGTGTAGCAATCATAACATCTGCTTCATCCAATACGAATACTCGTATCTTTTTCATATCAAACAGACGCATCTTGAGACCCCAGTCTAGCATTTTACCAGGCGTTCCAATCAAAATATGTTCCGTAATCTTTGAGTTGCGATCAACTAATTCCAAATATACATGAAATTATTATACATATATATTTGAAAGAAAATAAATTACCTTCTTCTCCACGAACTGCAAATCTTAGTTTAATTTCCGGACAAAATTGACCCATGCGTGCGGCGACTTCTCCAGTTTGAATTGCAAGCTCGTATGTCGGCGATAGGCATAGAACTTGAGGATGGTCCAGGGCAACATTTACACGACTCAACATTGCCAAGACGAATGCTGCGGTTTTTCCTGTACCCGATTGGCTTTGTGCTATCATATTTTGTGGTGGATCAGCAAGCAGAGTTGGCAATGCAGTTTCTTGAATTTTTGATGGAGTATTGAAGCCCATGGCGTAAATACCCTTCAGTAGTTCGGGCTTAAGATGTAGTGCCTCAAATGTTTTCACTGAATGCAATGGTGAATTTGGATTCTTTTGTTGAATATCCAACGACTGCTTGGTGTTAACTAATCCCTTGCCCAATATTTTTATAAGTAGACTCGTTTCCGCTGGGTCCGCAACATCGGGTTCATTGTCTTTGCTAGCCGTTGTTGTCGGAGCCGGTTCATCTGCATTTAAATCAATTTTGAATTTCGGTATCTCTTGGTCTTCAGCAATTTTAACCCAGTCAGTCATTTTTTCAATTTATTTGCTGTTTTCTTTTTTTTTTTTTTTTTTTTTTTATATTCAAAATGAGCTTTACAAAAGCGTGGATAGACCGTCGATGTCTGATGCAGCTGTTTGCTATAGAGATGCGTGCATTGAAAGATATCGATATATAACTATATCGTTCCGCTTAGTATGCTGGTCACGCAAATTAGACCATTGAATGGAAATTAATTATGAGAAGAGCATTAAATTAGAATATATAAAACACTTAATATCTTAATATAAACAAAATTATTGAATAATTAAAATGTAACTTTGTGTTTGTATTGCGATATTTGTTGGCAAAATCTTGCAGATAGGGATGATACAATTAATAGCTGCCAATTTCTAAGATAATAGAATATCGATACCACTATCGAATACGTCGACGGACCGTAGAGTAAATTGTACAATGTTTTGGAAAATTTACTGCCTTATTTTAAGAACTTCGGTCGAATTCGGCAACGAAATCAGTAATTTATAAAATAATTAATGCGGAGTACGACGTACGACTGTTTGTGCAACACATCGAAAATTAGGGTACATCTTGAATTCAAAACTAATTGATATTAGAGGTGAGGTTAATACTTTGACTCTAAATATTTTTGAGGATCATCCATTGGCGCTATAGCTGTGAGCATTACTAAAGCATATAATTGCGCAGTTATATACATATGTATATGTATTCTGCACATGTGTGTATGTCCTTCAAATTTGATGCCAGGCGAAAACTTTATGCAAAGAACAGAGAAAAGCAGCGAGCACAACAAAAATGTCAGCGGCGGGAAACTTTGCTGAACAAGCGGAAAATATTGCATGCTGGCTTAGCGAAAAACTCTCCGTAAATGAAGAGAACGATACCAATACCATCAATAACAACAACAACATCAATACCACCAACAATAACAACAATTGTAACACAAACAAACATATTGTGCCAGCAACAATTGCTACGCCAAAAATGAACGCTAACAGCATGAACAACAGCCAGACCAAGGAAATCAATGAGATCTGTAGAAAAGCGCAAGCTGGCCAAAAAATTATGATCATTATGCGGGGACCTGCGGGCAGTGGCAAATCCACAATGGCCAAATCAATATTGAATCAAATTCATTTGCTGGATCAGCATCCCATTACGGATTTCGTATGCAGCACCGATGATTACTTTATCACGCCTCGTGGCTACGAATTTAATCCCAGTATTCTACCAGAAGCCCATGACTGGAATAAGGAGCGTGTGAAGTGCAAAGCGGCAGCTGGCTGGAGCCCCATCATAGTTGACAATACGAATATTATGAAATGGGAAATGCAGCCCTACGTACAGATCGCCGTGCAGCATGGCTATTTAATAGAGCTACTGGAGCCCCAAACAAGCTGGTCCAAATCCGCCACAAAGCTGGCCCAAAAGAACGTGCACCAGGTGCCGAAAGATGCCATCAAACGCATGCTAGATCGCTATGAGAAGACCAACGTGTCTGAGCTAATCGGGGTATGTGTAAAGATGCATATGTGCTATTATTATTATTAATGTACTTATATAATAAACAGTTTCTTAAAGATACCAAATACACAGTGTCATTGCCGCAGCTGCGATTACACCCGCCGTTACCGACGCTGCCAGCACCATTAACGCCGTCTCAACAACCGGAACGATCCGGATCCCGAAGCCAATTGGACGATTTTAAACTAAATGTTAATGCTCAGACTTGGCTGCCGTATGAGCAAAATGTGAACAATTATTGGGCTCAGCAGAGTGACCTGCCGGCACAGACATCTGTGGCCAGTGCTGCAGGAGCAACAGGTGAATGCTCGCTATTGGATTTGCTGCGTGATGAGCAACCGGCAGCAGTGGTAAATGTGGATCCAGCATCGGGCATAGAGGCTCCTCAGAATACCTTGCAGCGCCACAGCTTAAACTGTCCAAACGAGGCGGCTGGCTTTGCGCAATTACGTCAAATGTATCCGAACAAGCAATTGAGTGGACTTTGGGATTTGTATGGGAAGTGCAAGGGCGATGTGTATTGGGCCGTGGACATATTGATCAAAGAAGATGAGCTCAAATCGGGCGATTCTGACGAGACGTTGCTGCAGGAAGTCGATGATTTTCAATGCGAATGCAACCGGAACAATTTTCAAGTGCCAACTGTGGCTGCTGCCGCTGCTGCTCTATCCCCACCGATACCCAATAAATATCAGGCCAAGCCGCAGCGTCAGCCACGAGTCAAACGCAATGCTGGCAATGGTTTTGCCAACAGAGAGCTGCAGCTGGAGATCGAGAATTGTTTCGTTTTGGGCGATGATCAGTATTCGGAGCATACGCGCAAGATACGAGACATACGCAATGGGATTTTAGATCAGCCGCTACCACCGGTCGTGGAGCCAGCACCAATCACGGTTACTGCTGCTGGTCCATCTTCAGCTGCTGATGAGGACGACGATGATTCGGAGGATAATGCATTGCTAGAGATGGATCTGGGTGAATGTTTGATTAAACAGCTGCGCAGTCACTTTCAGTGGGAGGGTGAAATGCTGCCCAAAGAGTCGGAGTCATTGCCAACCAAAGTGTTCCTGCCGCGACAGCAGGCCAAACAGCTCTACATGATCTGGATGGAATCGGTGCACAATCAGCTCGAGGAACAGCGTCAGCAGACACTGCGAGACGACGAGCAATTCGCACGTCTGCTCAAACATCCTAAATATGCCGACTGCAGCGAATCGCCTGGCAATGTTAATGAGCTGCTGGATATGGAGCTTGCCTGGAGCATCTACAACAGCGAACAGCAAGCAGCAAATCATGCGATTCAAAATAAACCAAATGATATTGCCACTCACTTAACCAAAATGAAGTTGTGCGAGAAATTTCCGGAAATTCCACGCGATACGCTGCTGCAGGTCTTTGCGGACACGGACAACAACTATGCGAAGACCGTGGAGGTGCTGGACAGCAATGCGAAAGTCGAATTAACCAGCGCCGAGCTCTATGAGCAGGCACAGCGTGAAAACGAAAAGGTAAGCGCAATCACTACCAATCAATGTAATATGAGCTCTTATTAGATTTAATTTTAATCTACAACAGCTCAATCAACAAGTGCAACAGCAGCCGCAGCAGTCCCAGACGAAAGTCGCCAGCCCTCGTATTGCTGGCAATGGCAAAGCGCAGTCTCCGCAGCTGCACGAGGAGGCCAAATGCGCCGCATTGCGAGACTTTGAGGAGACACGCAACTTGGCCGCCCATCACGCTCAGCTGAGAGCCGAATGCAACCTGAAGGCCAAGCAGGCAATACAGCAAGGCAATGGAAGCGTTGCGCTCTACTACTCGGAGATTGCTCAGCTGCACAAGAAGAAGATCGACGTGTTCAATCATCGCGCGGCCAACTGCATCATGGAGGTGCACAAGCATACGCAAAACAATCCGGATCTGCTCGATCTACACTATTTGCATACCATAGAGGCGGTTAGCAGTCTCGATCTCTTCCTGGATCGTCACATAAATGTGCTACGCAATGGCACACGGGTCTATAAGCATGTCTTCATCATAACGGGCCGAGGTCTACACAGTGCAAATGGAGTATCCACCATTAAGAAACATGTAAAGGCTAGATTGGCTGAACGACATTTGCGGTACGTCTTTCATTTGACAAAATGTAAAATGTTTAATTTGTAATGTTTTTCAGCTGGCAGGAGGTCAATCCGGGTCTGCTACGAGTCAAAGTGTTTTCGGCGTCACGTCACTCTAAGAACTTTTAACCATTTCAATCAAACAATGCTATATACAAATATATACATTAAGTTGTACAGCATTCGACAGCAAATGTTTAGTTGCGCAACCTCACTTACAAATTTCTGTATAAGAACTCTTACGAAATTAACAGTTAACGATATATACATTCGTATTATTTTGTGTGTTCATCAGACATTCCCCACACTTTTTAATAAGCACTCCCAATCGTTATTACTCCTCTGTTTTCAATAATCTTTTATAAGTAGGATAATATGAAGAAGTGTTTTTGATATACATATATATATTTATATGTATTTATATACATATATCTGTTTTATATACACAACTTCATTTTTATCCAGTTACTCATCTACAATTACTATATTTTAAATTTTTTGAATATGAAGTTATTTTTATGTATTTTTGTTTTTTGGTTTTTATAAAAAATCAAAACTTTAGCTTGGTTTATGGATGTTTAAATATGAGAGAAGTAAGATGAAAGTTTAAAATATTATTTTTTTTTAATCTAAAGACAAAGTACTTCCCTTAAATATATAAAATATACATATATATGTATATATGTACAGGAAAAACTTTATAGAACATAAATTTTAAATATTTTTAATTTTAAGCCAAATATTACTATTAAAATTAACATAAGGGAACGAAAAATGCAGTTTTTATTTAAAAGTGTAAAATCATGCTACTTGAGGGTCTGCGATTTGAATATGATTCAAAGCTAATCTTACTTCAAATTTGTAAGCGTTCTTCCGATTTAAATAATGGTCAAATGACTCAAATCCGTGAATAATTTTGTAGGCTAAGCATTTTGTAAATTTGTAATCTCATTTGCTACGCATAAAACAGATGTATGAATCAACTGGCTGATCGAAACTTCTAAAGCTTGTCAGCTGTTTAATCCTAATACATCCTCGCATTGGTCACCACCATTCGTTCAGGTAATCAATGCGGGTACTACCTGGTCCGCATGATTCGCCTACCTGTAAATAACAGAAATGGAAAATGCAGCCCAGTCTCGTGCCATAAAATAAATCACGCATGCCCTTAAATGTTTAAAACATGGAAAGACAGATGTTTTACTATTTAAATTCAGCATCCAGAATATAAAATTATATAAAAGTAATGCTTATACATTGAGATACACAAAGTGTACGTAAATTCTTATATCTAGGAAATCTGTGGCAGTCTAAGCAAATGTGTCATATATGGCTTTGGTTTGGGCCCCAGTTGCCCCGAGGACGGAAACTAGGTGAGCTCGTCTTGCAGCTGCTTGCTTGGCGATTGATTTTCCTGTCCATCAAGGTGCAGACGATTTATGGCCACCAATTCCATCAAATTAGCGCGACTGCGTTTTGGTGTGTAGCGATTTGCTGAGTTAGGATTCGAGCCATAACCTGCGCTTTTGTTCAGCTTTTCACGCGGCGGTGTGTGCAAAAAGACACCTTCAAAAATGGTTTCCAAGCTGTTGGCATGCTTGAGGCCCACTGTTGAGTCATCTGCATTTTCGTTGTTGTTGGGTGCACTAATTTGTGCATTGATCTCGTGCAAGGCCACAAACTCTGGATTATTCTGACGCCCAGGACTGCGCTGCTGTTGGACCGGCAGCTGCTTTGGCGTTTCCAAGTCCGATGCATTCAAATCATCAATTGGCGACGGCGTGCGCCCGTGAGGAGAATAAGCCCGTATTTCGAAAGCGGGCAGCTCATCACAGTCGACCGGTTGGCCCATGTCGTGCTCAAGGGCCAGCGATAAATCACTCTCGCTTTCAAGCGAAGACATTGAACACTGAAGGATATAGGAGCTATTTAACTGCACCTCGACACTGGCCATTGTGGTTACTGTATTTACCGCATCCGCATCCGAAGTTCTGTCCATGTTGTACGTTGAACGTGCTGTACTTATATGCAATGTCGACCTATAGTCGAGCATTACAAATATGGCCAAATCGCTCTGCCTGTTGATTGCTGACCTGTCAGCGATCCGCTTCTTCCGAATTGAATATTTTTGGGGTGATACGCGGATTCGTCGCGCAGGTAGTCAATAACTAACTCGCTTCGCTTTGCCGCACCAGTCGGTAAACAAAATATTGTTATTTATCGAAATGTTATCGATATATTTGAATTTCAAGTCCATGCCAGTGTGGCCATAAATGCTACTCAAAAAATACTAATAACTCTGTGAGCAACGATCTGTATTTCAATTCTTTCCGTTAAAACGAACTGTTTATTTAGCTCAATGAAATCACAATACTTGGCAATTGAATTGTAAAGCTCGACTTTTTCTTATAGTATTTCTTTTATGGAATATATGTTAAATAGAACATAGACTAATAACATTTTATTTAATTCTTGCTAGATACTTTATAGTAGTTATTATAATTAATGATACGTATAAGATCAATTATTTTAGCTTGGTATCCTGAAGCAGCAACCTTGTTTCCCAAGTAGATGGCATAGCGAATGAATTTCTCAAATTCCGTTTCTTCGAACACTAATCGCTTATAACGTGGATGAACAAACTGATTATCTTCATCCAAAACAAATGACTTCGAGTTCAGAATTCTGCAAAGTAGGAAATGTGTACAAAAATATGATTTTAAAAATGCACATATACTGTTTTTAAAATTTCAACTTACTTGCAAAAACGCAGGGCGATCACAAGTATACTATCGATGGTTTCCCGAAATTTAACACTCCGACGATTGAGTAGCGAAAAGAATGCAATCTCCTTTAAATAGTCGACGTGTCGTTGATAAAGTTCCTCGACAGAGCCTACCGCGATTATATCATCAGTAAAGGTCTTCCACGTGCCCTCTAATGCATTTGTGACTAGATGATTCTGCAGCGTGAACACGAAGTGCGACAATTTGTGACGAATCATTTGCAAATGGCGATACTGCGGCGATTGCTGTAGTCTCCGACCATGGAGTCTCGATGATTGCTGGAAGTCCTGATAGGTCCGCTCCATTATAAAGCTGATATGTCGCAGCTTGATCAAATGAGAGAATATTTGCCCATACTTCTCCATGGTCTCTACGCTGAGTACCAAGTTCAGTGGCCACTCCATCTTGCACTCCAGCTTGAATATGGACAAGGCATTTATGTCCATTAGATCAAAGCTTTCCGGAATGGTCGTGCAATTCAAGGCCAAATTATCGGCAACTATTGCCGATTCAGAACCCTCTATCGCTCTGTTGGCGAGCGCATTGTTGAGTATGGAGTCCAGTACGCCCTTTTGGCACAGGCTATGTGGCACTGAGCCGGATTCAATGCGACTCAGGATTTCGCCAATAAGCACAGTTCCGAATTCACCGTCTAGCAAAAAGAAATATTTGCGTAGATCACAAAAATAATCATAAATCCTTTGCTCATGAAATATGCGCAGAACCTCGTTGCGCAACAGCGACAAATGCATTTTAACTGGCAACAGGACAGAGAGTTGCATATATCGTTTGACTAAAAACGGATTATGACCGATTTCTTCCGTCGGACTCGCTGCTTGTGACTGCTCCCCGTCGCTTCGTGTTATGGGTAGGCTAAAGACGGATTTCTCTTTCGGTGCAGGCAATATTCGGGGTGCAGGCAATATTCGGGGCGCAGGCTCTGTTACTACGGGTGCCTCTTCGATCTCCTCGAGGTCTTCTTGATCACTGATCACAATTCTGCTATTTGCGTCATTGTTGTTAGCCGCGTCAATGATTTCTTCTGGAATCTGGACATCGATTTCCACATCGGATGTAATGGACATGGGTGTTCCACTGTCTAATGTGGACTCCACTCTGAGATCCTGTGGCTGCAATGGCAAATGCAAGGTGTTGCCCAAGCCTCCACTGATTGTGAAGTCGCCTTCCATCACGCGACGGCGATTTCGTGCAAGTTCCGTGTCTGAGAGCAGCAGACGCTTCTCAGACTCGCTATTCACCTCGTCGTCATGGTTAAACGAACTGAAATTATTATGCTGATGCATGCGCAAACGGTTGCGCTGCAGGTCTGTGAGATCTTCGATATTCATGTTCATGTCTGGCGGCAATTTAGTGCTCAGTTGCTGCTCCGTGCAATTGAGAACTCGCATACGATTCAGCTCCGCGTCTGTGTATGAAGCTGCACTGGTGGGTGCCACTTGGTGCAGCTGCACTTTCATTTGACATTCCTGGAACTGCTCGGATGAATTGTTGCGCATACGATTGCGTTCTAAACTCTTGTCGCTCTCATTCGAATTGAGCACATCTGCTAGATTGGGCTCTACGGTGTCATCTGGATTGGGCTGTGTCACCTCAACTGCATTGGGCTCTGCCAATTCAATTGGATTGGGCTGTGTCATCTCACCTGTCTCTCGTTTATCCGCCATTATCTCTATATCTGGTTCCTCGCAAGACACAAAACTGTGACTACTGCTTGTGCTATCGTTTGGGCTGGCGACATCAGTCGATACCAGCGGAGTTGTCATCTTTTGCTTTAACTCAGCCACTTTCTCTTCCAACTCCTTTTTCTTCTGCTGCAAACGTTGCTCTTCCATTTTATTGGATTTGTGCTGGTATTCCAGCTCCAGCATGAGCTCAGAGCGTTGCTGTTCCAAGCGCACCTGTTCTTGTTGCTCTCGCTGCTCATTGAGCTCTTCGTAGCGACGTTTTTTCTTGATATCCGCCTCTAATTGTAAGTCAAGCAGATCCTGCTTCCAAGTTGCAATAAAGGACTGAGTGCAATCCCACATGCGATTGCCGTAGCGTTGGCTATTCTCTACGTGCTCCTCGAGGATGGTTTGCATCTTAAATGGTTTGATTGTTTGCCGTATTTGATCGTAATGTAGCTCCAATTCCTGGCGCATTTTCATCAGCTGCTGCTCCGATAGGCAGAGAACCAAGTTGGGATGCTTTAAACTGAATACTGGATGCTAAAGGGCAATTAATCTATTAATCAATCTCTTAAATAAATATATTGTGTCTACTCACCTGCGCATTATAGGTCTTAAGAAATCGGTTGTATTTTCCACATTGGAGTATGGGCTGTTCACAGCCCATTAGAAAGCCAGGCACTAGATCGGATCGTATATAATAAGCCTTGTCGAAATACTCTTTGCTGCGCTCGTGCATCAATTTATGCGTGCAAGAATTAATAAAGAGCTCGTTGAAGGGCTCGTCGAGTTCGCCTTGGTAAACCCAACGTTTCAGCTGTGCGAAGTACATCTCACACAGCGAGCTCAGCAGGTACATAAGTAATTGTGAGAATGTGCAATCGATGCCCCCATTGATGTACGACCAAACGAAGCTCATCAGATTCATTGCGCACATGCCGTCTATTCCTTCCGTATCGCATACTGAAATTTCGAATATATTAAAGTTCAGCAGGACAGTTGCTGGACATCTTATCTTACTCAGCTCCTGTTCAAGCATCTGGTCCATCTGCTTTAGCAGCTCCATGGTGGGGCCTGCGCCGCTCAGCAACTGTCCTAAATTTTCGGCAGGTATCGATAGCAGAAAGAGCCGGCTATTCGTAATAAAATTAATTATTGCCTGACGCAAAGCCTGTAAAGGTAAATCATGGTTGCATGACGAAACCTTAAAATTTTATATGTTTGTGCTCACTCGGTTGAGAGGCCGTTCATTGCGAATCGATTCGTGTTGCCACTGAGTGCGCGCACTGAGTCGACGGTAGGCTCTGCCAGAGACAAGGAATGGTTCTGCGTATTCAGCCAGCAGCTCGGGCAAAACAATGTCTAGTGTTATGTGGGGCTTCATCATAAAGTTTCCTTCGGCTGTGCACACAATTGTGTCTGATTGCAGACCCGCTGTAGATAATTAAAGCTTAATTAATTATTTGAAATATTAGTTAATGTATATTTGCGCACCTGCAGCCTGTTTTAGATGCTCGATAAGAAGTGGCAGCTTAATGAAGGTTAATTTTAATGTCTTATCCTGGTGCCATTTAAGCTCGTTGCTTAAGAGCAAATCCGAAACAAAATGCTTCTCCAATGTTACATTAGTCGATGAGTCTTTCTCACCCACGTACTCACTTGAAGGCGGCTCGTCTTTATCTCGTAAAGGCAAATTAATCTTCACACGACTTGTCCCTCTCTTGGATTCGTTCATACGTGCCATTGAATCCTTCAGTATTGAGGACTTTAAGCTGGATTTATTCTGATTCTTGTGGGCATTGCGCATCGCATTAATGTCTTTTAAATACACAGTTGATAAGGAGCGGAAAACAATCGGCTTCATCGAGTCCCGCATATTCTCGATTGATCTTAAAATCTTAGGAGCTGTGTCAGCAGAATATTGTGGAAACTGCTCCTCAAAACAGGGATTCGATTGCAATCGTAGAGGCTTGGCCAACATCATATTGCTTTTCCTACGTAAGCCAACCGACTTTGGTAGTTCTTGTTTTTGTTGCCGATCGGTCTCTTGCTTTTCCAGGGTGATATACATGTTTTGGATACATTTTTCAATATTGTTGCCCAGCGCACAATTTAAGTCGGTGCACTGCTCAAACTTCTGAGATGACAGTAGCGATTCGTAGAGTTTTCTGCGTCTCTCCTTAATGGAAGCAGGCGACGGCTGCACTGCAGCTGCTTCATCCGTTTGGGCGCGCTCATTTCGCGAAAGTTGAGCAACTATTTTCGTAACTAAGCTGACAACAGGCTCGTTGGAATTACAAACTGCTTCCATTCAAAATAAAAAAATACAGCTTATTGATCAAGTAATTTCCAATACAAAATTACTGCAAATAAATTGAACTGTTTGTTTTTTTTTTTTTTCGTTGAATGTTTTGGAGATGAGACTGAAGACGAATTCGGCCTGCTGTTACTAATCGTATTCATCGATAACAATTTCGTGTAACCGTGATACGATATTATTTATATTTTTTCTTATTTTGGCATTTCTATCAAAAACATATTTAAATACTTACGTATATTTCTACATTGTGTCTGATTTGCAACAATACTTGCTGATGGAGTACATCCCTACGATGTACAAAGTGATCGACTTATAATCAAAATTTAAAATTATATGTTGCCAGTAATTAAATACATTTTGAATTGAACTGGTTACAACTTAAGTTTATTACGATTTCAATAACTTACAGCTACATACGATCAGAA